ACTAATAAATGCTCTGATGCATTTATCTACTTATCCTCCTTTGTTGTAGTTAACTTTTTTTTAGGATACAAATACAACTTCACATTCAAGCATAACTTTGTTTGGATCTTCCTACAACATTTTAAACCTTTCTACACATAGACAACGTATTCTAAGAAGTTATGGATTTTATGGTATGTACATCTTTTTCAGACCGATAATTAGAACAAATCTCGATTGTTTTTTTTCTGAATGAATCACTTTTTCGGATTCTGTTTCCTACTGTAAACTCTAGTTAAAGCTGTCAAATTTTATTCATAGTCAGCTAAATTAAGAAATGAATTTCAATGTTTTTTTGTATGTCATTGATTATTGGATTCAAGCTCTTGATTCTTATTGAATGGAGAATCAGTGTTTGGTCTGCAACCTCTGTTACATAATGGTCGTAGAACCATTTCTTTCTTTTGTGTGTTAACTATTGGATTCAAGCTTTGATTCTTATTGAATGGATCAGTGTTTGATCTGCAATCTCTGTTAGAGGTCGTAGAACCCATTTCTTTCTTTAGAGGGGTTAGTTTGGTGCTAATCATTTACTCATCGTAGAAAGCCTTCAATATTATTATGTTATGTATATAAAATGTTTGGATAAAAAGAACTCTTCACAAGTGTTTGTAGGAGAGGAAGTATAGGTGAGAAACGATTAGGGTCAGTCACAGATTCTCCAAAAATATAAGAGAACCATGAAAGCAAACCAGAAATAGAAACCATTCCCTTCAATTAAGCAAATGAATTCTCCTCTTCTCTTTCTTTTTCCTTCAAATTAATCTATATAAATGAATAGCTTAAATTTCCCCACAAAAGCCAAAAGAGACCCAAATTTGTTTTTGTTGTCTCTGTCTCTCTCTTATCTATAAACTATGGAAAACATAAGTGAGCTGATGACTTTTGACATGAGAGAGTTAAGAAACAACCTTCCCAAAAAGTAAAACCTGAAAAACTCTTTGGTTGTGTAATTATGAATTTCTTCTAATTTTGGATTTGTGAATGGTTTGTAAAATGTAGGAGAGGATTGTCAAGGTACTATTCAGGGAAAGCAAGATCATACGCTTGTATCTCGGATGTTAAATGCCTTGAAGATCTCATGAAACCAATCCAACCTCT